GGGGGGGGTTATCGTATGATGGTTTGAAAGGTTCCAATTTTGTCAGGAAATTCCTGGTCCCTGTAACATAAACCCTTCGCCATCCCTCTACCCAGTACAGGTACTTGGTCCACTTCGGATTAGTACGGAATGTGTCGGATGTGATATCATAGCTTGTGAGATCATCTACTTTGCAGACGATGTCTCTAGACTCTACAGTTCCATTCTTGGCAAAGGTAACATTAAAGTCGAACTTGGATAGGGTTGCATTGGGATATTGTTTCATGAAGTTTGCTTTCATTTTCCGGATTTCGACGGGTACTGCCGCTTTAACCTTTTCGTAATTCTTTCCGTAGTAGTTCCGAAAGATTTCCTCACTCATCCTTTTATTTGATATAAAGTTCTAACAATACATCTCCGGGAACGGCTCCGGTATTAGATCCGATTTCGAACCGAATTTCATTGTATTTACCAGCATCCACCCGTACTTGGCTTTCGATGTCGTTGTTTTTCGTCGTGGTCCCAAAGAGAGGTCTTGTTCCGTCGATGGGAAGGGAAGTGATGCCGGTACTCCTATTTCCATACGGTCCGACGTTATGCTCACGATTCACAAGGTTACAACTGACTGTAAGGTACCGCAAGCCTTCGTGGATGTCTACGGGACGATCGCTGATGTGTGCGGTGTATGTAGAGCAATTGGAAGATCGGTATCCCAGAATATCCGTAAGATTCCGAAGTCCTGCTGAACTCGTACCCTTAGCGAAGTCGATCCTTATCCTTCCATCGGGATATTCCTTAAGTGTTAATCCGTTTTCCTCCAACTCTTTCCTAAGCTGCTTAAAGGTCCAGTATCCTTCATCTATCATAATCTTCTTCCCATCTACGGAAATGTAGTCATTATATCCTTTGCGGATGTTCTTATAATTCCAAAACACGGCAGCAGTCTTTACGTAGAGTTTGTATCCGTGGGTAAGTATCAGTGGATCCTGTAAATCCAGGGTAACCCCTCCGTCTTCAACATAGACCGTTATCTTCTTCATGTTTTATTTACAGATAATAAAATGGACTTACCATTAGATGTAGCTCTCCGGGAAATATATTTTAACGTCAACGGTGGGTACATGTCGATGGAAAAATTATACCAGAGTGCAAAGAAGGAGGGTATAAAGGGAGTAAGTCGCAAAAACGTTAAGGAATGGTTACAGACACAAAATACCTACATCATCCACAAACCGTCCCGAAAACATTATGGGACCCAAAGAACCTATGTGGACGGAATTGCACAGCAGATTCAAATGGACCTTGTGGATATGAGTAAATTTAGCCATGGGAATAAGGGAATCCGGTGGATCCTAACTGTCATAGAGGTTCTAAGCTGGTATGCCTTTGCTGTTCCCGTATGGAGAAAAAATACCGAAAGCATGACGAAGGCTGTCGAAAGTGTGCTTGTACAATTTAAGGAAAGGTTTGGTAGATATGCTAAAACGGCACAGTTTGATGACGGAAAGGAATTTTACAATGTAGGAGTAAAGACGTTGCTAAAAAATCACGATGTCCACTACTTTTCCACAAGGACCTGCCGGAAAGCCGCAATCGTCGAAAGATTCAACAGGACCTTAAAAACAAGGATGTGGAAATACTTTACGGAAAATAGTACAAAAGTTTGGGTGGACATCTTACCTGCTCTCGTTAAATCCAAAAATAATTACATACGCAGGACAATAGGAATGAAACCGGCAGATGTGAATGAGGAAAATAAGGATGAAGTTTGGACAAGAATCTACGGATATCCACTAAGCAGTTTTTGGGATCCTAAATTTAAGGTTGGGGATCACGTTAGGGTGGAAATAAAGCACAAGACCTTCGAAAAGGGATACGAACCAAATTTCGACAACGAAGTATACGTCGTTACAGAGCTGTTCCGGGGAGATCCCAATATGTACAGCCTTAAGGATCCGGAAGATGGGGAGGATATTCTAGGAAGATACTATGAACAGGAACTATCCTTAGACTTAATTTAAATAAAGATGGACACCATAGAGATGGACAACCTTAACCGAGCGGAAAAAGCTGAAGGGAATGATGAGGGTGGTATTGCTGAAACACACCTCGACGAGGACGGCTTTCTTTCAGGACTAGATGGACTAGACGATGCAAAAACCTCCAGTTTCCGAGAGGAAAATAAAGACGACTCCTTCAAAAAGAGAAACAGACAGTTAGATGAACTGAGAACATATGGAAAATTTGATGACATAAAGGTAGAATATGTTAGGAGGCTCTTTCAGACCGAGTACCGAATAGATCCAGACGACGGACAGAACTCTAAGGAACTCGTCTCCAGTTTAGACATCACTAAAAACAAGTTAACATTTAATGGGGTCGATGTCGCATACATTGATACGGGTGGTGCATATAATTTGTCTAAGGATAAAAAATCCTCTGGATCTGTAAAGACATTTTTAAAGCTGTACGCAGAAGCACTCTAGGAACACAGGGGAAAAGCAAAAAGTGTAATCGAAGAGGAGACCGGAGAAGAAACATCAAGGTCAGTCGAAGAAGAAATTTACGAGGATGCCGTGGAAGAATTCCGCCAAGAAGTCACCGACACCGACGACGACCTCAAGGAACACGCAAAGGAAGCTGTATGAAAGGAGAATAATAACCAAAAATGAAAGGAGAGATCTTGCGGGAGTGACCGTACCGAAGGGACCCCCAGAAGTCAGGATCGCAGCACTGAAAATAATGAAGAAAGTATTCGAAGAAAATGCATAACTTACAACAGTACCGGAAAGGGAAGAAATCATGAGGAGAGGGATAAAGGCTGCCGAACAGGGTATCGACGACGAAAGGATAATCCTAGGTCTTCAACCGGAAACGGAAGAGGGAAAAGTAAGGTTTAGGGAAATAGTAAGAGAAAACGTTAGGACAAAAACCAAATTCATGTCCAAACCAAATTCATGTCCAAACCAAATTCATGTTCATGACCAAATACATGTCCAACAATCGGAGAGTTCTTGAAGCATTGCCTGTTGAAGGGAGAGCCTTGCCAGACCTAGATCTAAGTCTTGATCAACTTCCTATTGAATGCACGCTGGGTGTACACTGGAACGTCGAAGATGATGCCTTTTGTTTCAAGATAAAATCTTGTGACAAACCAAATACCATGCGAGGTGTGCTTTCATGTGTTTCTTCCTTTTATGATCCAGTGGGATTTGCTGCACCAGTTCTTTACCTGCTAAGCAAATTCTCCAAGTGCGTTGGAGGAGGAAGATGAAATGGGACAATTTCCTGGAGAACGATCTACTGAAATCATGGATTAATTGGAAATCACTTTTACCATTGATGACTCAGATAAGCATCCCTCGTTGTTTCTAACGACTGCCAGATCATGACGATTCTGTTGTCGAGTTACACCATTTTTGTGACGCCTCAGAGATTGGATACGGTACGTACTGTGTCGTATCTACGCATCATCTACAGCGACAGAACTATTAACTGTCTGTTTGTAATGGGAAAGTCGAAAATTGCTCCCATTCGGTCACCCACGATTTCAAGACTCGAATTGCAAAGTGCATTATTAGTTGTACGAATGAATAAGATGATTAAAGATGAGCTCAATATAACTGTACATGAAACGTACTTTTGGACGGACAGTATGGTAGTATTGTCGTATATTCACTAGACGACGAAACAATTTCAAACGTACATAGCTAACCGAGTAAACGAAATTCAGGAATCAACTAATCCGAGTCAATGACGGCACTGTCCAGGAAGTTTGAATCCTGCCGACGATTGTTCTCGCGCTTTGGACCCTCAGCAATACATAGAACAAGAGCGATGGCTAAGAGGTCCTGGGTTCCTTTCGAACCCGAGAGATACATGGCCCGATGAGCCAATTCAAGAGATACCCGACAGCGAACTGGAAATCAAAAAGAAGAAAACGACTTGTGCGATTCGTCTCCAGGCGACTGTAAGCCCTCTGCTCTATGAACTCCTCGAAAGATTATCGGACTGGTCGAAACTACTTAAATATGTGGCTTGTCTATGCAAGTACAAAGCTGAGTTGAAAAATGGCAAACGTTTAGAATGCAATACTTTAATTAACCGTGGATGACCTGACTTTAGCTAAACGAACGATTGTTTCACTTGTTCAACACCAGTCGTTTTCGGAAGAGAAGGATAATACCGGTCAACATGTGAAGAAATCGAGTTCGATTGTGAAGCTTAAGCCCATGCTAGGCGAGAACGGACTCCTAAGGTTCTCTGGTAGAATATCAGAAGCACCAAGCACGTTTGACAGTAAACATCAGATGATTTTACCGCAGAATCACCATGTTGCAACCTTGATAATTCGTTTTAATCACCAACAACTTGGACACTGTGAACAAGAGCAGTTGTTTTCTCGACTTCGAAAAGAATTTTGGATCGTTAAGGGCAGAGCGACTATTAAACGAGTGATCAGCAAATGCATACCGTGTAGGAAAAAATACTCTGTACGGGATGACTCAAGAAATGGCAGAGTTACCTAAGGTTCGCCTTACTCCTTTCGAACCTCCCTTTACAAACACGGGCATTGACTTTTTGGACCACTTGTGGTAAAACACGGACGGGGTTCTGCCAAGCGTTATGGTTGTATATTTGTATGTATGGCATCGGGAGCCATACATCTAGAACTAGCCCAGTCCCCGGAAACCGATGATTTCATCATGGTGTTACGAAGATTCTTAAACATTCGGGGTGGCGTTAAACAACTTCGTGGGCGCAGAGCGCGAGTTAGGTGAAGCTTTAGAAAGGTCGAATCAAAATCAGATTGAAGAGCATTTAAAACAAACCGGAGTAGAATGGATTTTCCACCCGCCATTAGCGTCGTATATGTCGGGAGTGTGGGAGAGACTGATTCGTGGTGTTAAACAATCGTTGAAGGCTATCCTAGGAAAGACATTAGTTAAAGAAGAAGACTTGAGAACGGTGTTATCAGAAGTCCAAGGGATTGCAAATTCCAGACCTCTGTGCCCGAACTCGGACGATTAACTCCGAATCATCTGTTACTTCAAAGACCAGCGATTACTCTACCTCCTGGAAAATTTGACGATGCTGATTTGTATAGCAGAAAGAGTTGGAGACAATCACAAATTATGAGCGACCATTTTTGGAAACGGTGGTTACATGAGTATCTACCAACTTTACAACAAAGACAGAAATGGGCTACACCACAACGAAATTTAGCTGAAGCAGTTGGTGATCTTGTACTCTTAGTGGACGAGAATCTTCAACGAGGACATTGGCCACTTGGAAGAGTGACGAAAGTGTTTCCTGGAAAGGATGGTCTTGTCAGAATCGCCGAAGTGAAAACGAAAAACGTTTTGAAACGTCCAATTCAGAAGTTGTGCTTCCTGGAGGTTGACGACTAAAGGTGGTAAATGAGCTAACGTGATACGCTCATAGGGGGGCCGGGATGTTACGGACGCTAGTATAATTAGTATAATTATTTCGCGCCGTTCGTTGACATTAGCATAAGTAATTTAGGGCCAGTCCTCGCGAGCGAGGTCTTTTGAAATATTGATATTCGTGATAGATAAACAAACGTAATCTGCTTTTAAATCGCCAAAAGATGAAAGTATTTCTTTCATATTGACTTTGAATCATTTGAACGTGTTGTTAAGGAACGTTATATGTAATTCTATGTAGCAAACCTTTGTTTACGACCAATATTATTCGAAATACGGACAGAATCAAGGACAGAATGATGCATGGATATTTCATATGTACAAGATATTTGTCATGATGTACTACTTAGAAGAAAGCGTAAATAAAGTGTAATGACGTGGTGATTATTATTTGATATATAAACGACATTCCGTTCGGTTCGTTCCCAACAAACGTGAAAACGATCCTTGCTTTTCCGCAACGAAGAGTAATGTTTCTTCGACACCTTCATGACGTAGGACTTAATTATCGCCTCCTTCTCAACATTCTTCCGTAAGTCCCTCCATCTTAGCCGGGGTCTCACTGGTGAAGAAGGGGTCACCGTGATGTAGGGAACCTGCACAATTTCCGAGACAGTAGAGCTGGATTCGGTTTCCTTGGACTTTTCGGTATGCGTTCGCAATTCACGTTTGCTCTCGACTCGTCCTCGAAATCCGAAAATAATGTTGGAATGTTTTCCAATGGTACTAATCCATTGTCTCAAATTCGGTGTTACAACAGGACTTGCGGGCGTTTAGGTTTGGGTAGATAGGTTTCCAGTGCTGGCTGTCGTATTCTTTGGTAGCATAATTTCCTTTCTCATTATTTTATGTCTCGGACAAAAGTTCGGACAAAATCCCGGAGAAGTTTTATGACAAGGTTCCAACCGAAGTTCAACAGTGTTCTGGCGGGTGCAGGTGGAAAATTTTTCAAATGGGGATTTGAAAATGTTTTGAATTGGGTTGGGAAGGGGTTCGGAATCGGGTGCGGCAGATTTGCGGACAAACTGCTCGCAATCCGGTTTATACCCTACGGATAAGGAAACATGATCCTGACAATGCAGTTACAAAAGGAGTAGTGTAGTCCTCGGTGATTGGCTGCAAACAACGTACCAAAACCAACATATGCTCAATCGGGTGGAGATTTTCCAAACGATGGTTTCCAAAACTGTCGAATGGGGGGCAATTCAAATATCGGTTGTCCGGCAGGAACTGACGAATTTCCGGATGATGGGCAAAGCTGTCCTCGAATCGGCATTTTACACTACTCACGACGATCAACTATCCGATATATGATGTCTGCGAAAAATGCGTGCTGAAACGTAAAGACGCAGGCAGTGTGCCGTAGCGACTAACTACAAAGGAGTCTGAATATAAAAGATTAGGTTAAACTTCATTGGCATTATTCCAACCAATTGTGGAGTTAATGAGGAATAGCACAGAATAAGAGATTGCAATAAACATTGTATTGCAGCGCCTAAACAGCCAATCTGTTTAGTTAAGAGGGAATCTCCACTATCACCGAGCAACAGGTGGCACATGATGAAAAGTAAAATGTTTTCTTATTTTGTCCAGTGATAGACTAATGTACACTCAGAAACGTGCTGGGATTTGTTTTCTGAAATATTATTTTGAACGCCGAAAAATTATCAAAACCTGACATGTACCCAAGATTCGTGAAATTAGCTAAAAACATAGTGAGTCATAGCCTCTCGAAAACTTCGTTTTGCCCAGTTCGCGTCTTCAGGAAATCTCACTTTCGGTTTTCAAACGTGTATATAAGATGTATATAAAGAACCATAGTCTATTTTGCAATCTTTTAAATGATGTTTCAAAGTCAAGGCAAGCGCGTAGAAATTGGCTTATTTTGCGATCCAAAAAATTCTAAATTGGTACACTTTTTGAAAATTAATTTACCGTATCCGAAAAAACTCCAATTTCCTTGAAATTTAGGGAATTTAAAGAGAAACTGTTGCTCTAAAAGCTGATTTAAAAATTATTTTGGGGCTTTTTGTTACCGTGGAATTATGCTGACTATAATATCGAGAAAATCACAACAACAACCTTAAGTTAAAAAATTTGAAGTTTGGTACATTTTTTGAAAATCAATTTTATCCTTTCCGGTAAAACACCGATTTCCTTCAAATTTAGATAAATGTATCAGCAAATGTTACCGGTAAGACCCCGGCTAATATTCAAATGAATTCTATAGAAGATTCTATAGAAGTCTGTTGAATATTCTATAGCATATTCTAAACGATTTTGGTGCATATTCAATTGAAGAAAACACAATTACTGTTGTATTAAAAAGTAGTTTAATAACTAATAGTTAGTGGAACAGCAAGGTAACCAATCAGAATTATGTGTTCGTAGGTGTCATTCAACTAGGAAATGGGTATTTAAAAGGTAGTCATTTTAAGACTTTTATATAAACTGGACCAAGGTACAATAGTTGGCAACTCACAAGTTGGCAATAATTATAATAAGTTTATTATGTGGAGAATATCACTTATATAAACTTTGCAAAGATTTTGATCTGCCTGGATTACCAGATATTAAGTATAAACAGATGTAAATATCCAGGTTTAAATCAAAAGTGCTGCCAAAGGAACCAATTTGGCATTGTTCACAAACCAAAACAATTAACAATGCAAGAATTAAAAAATAAACCTTGAGCTAGATAGATAGCTAGTTTATTAGTTTAAAATTTTACAGCTCCCAATACAACCACAGCTGAATTATACATAAACTTTACAATCATGACTAATTAAATATATCTATTTTAAAAATTTGATTAAAACTATGAAAAATGTATCTGTCCTAAATTAGTTTGTTTTAATTTATTATTGCGCAACACTACAATTGGGTTTATATGTATTGTTCCTTTACATTTGCCATAATAAAACTGTTTTGGAATCTGTTCGTTTTACACACTGGATAGTTAAACATGTTCTTACGTCTCAAATTCATACTAGATCTATTTTTCTCTGGTAACAGTGCATGCAGTTTATGAGATGTATTTTGAACAATATAGTTGAACAGTTTTTTCGTTAGAGTATCCCTTCTGCTGTACAAGGAGTCCAAACCAGCTTGCTCTAACGCATCACAATATGGTATATGTGGGGAAAATGATACCGAGTGCTCGTTTTTGTAGTTTTTCCAAGTCATCAGATAGATATTTAGTGAGAGAATTATGGAAAACGTGACAGGCATATTCTGTTACTGGACGCACGCAAGTTAAGTAGAATAGCTGCATCTCTTTCGTTGCAAGGCCAGCTCGTTTAAGTTGTTTAATTAAGAAAGTACAGTCTAGTTGACACTTTTCGTACGATCTCAGAAATGTGCGTATTCCACTTAAGATCATTTGAGATGTTAAGACCTAATAGCTTTACCGATGTAACTACTTCAATGTCTTTGTCATTAATGCGAATAGGGGCAAAATCGGGCTTAAACTTCGCGAAAGATATGCGCAACTCTTTGCACTTCGTTTCATTTAACTGAAATTTGTTAGCTAAGGACTGGTTCGACAGATCTTCGACGTACTCTTGCATGGCACTTGCATCATTCTTCAACACAGTTTCTGCAACCGTGGTATCGTCAACATACTTCCACTGTTCAACATCTGCTACATCAACAGTGTTTATCATAATCAGATAAAGCCATGGACCAAGTTTAGTTCCTTGGGGAACACCGGCTGGAACAGTTCCCCATTCTGAGTAGCAATCGTTGCTCAGTTTCACCCTTTGTTTACGATCCGTCAGGAAATCGAGTACCCAGCACACAATGCACGGCGGAAGGTCACAGTTGAAGAGCTTTCGTTTAAGGATGTTATGGTCGCTCAAGTCAAATGCTTTTTTAAAATCGAATAAGACCACTCTAACAGATGATCCAGACCCATCCGTAGCTTTATTCCAACAGTGAAGCAAAGTAATTAGCGCATGTGTTGTAGTCAAAACTGTTGTAGGATTACACTATTTAGTGAATATTTTTATTAGAATAAGTGTTAATGTTACTGTTCCGTGCAGATGCTTTCTGTTTTGCCTTTTCTACATTTCAAAATGTTGTTAATCCTTGCGTTCATCATTTGTCTCATCATTGTTAATCCTTGTGGTCATCATTGTTGCATAGTCGTGAAGAAGATTAGAAGAACACTGGCCATTTTTCAAAAGCCTTTCTGGCTCTTGCAAGTCGGAAACTATATCTGTTAGGCACGGCAGCACTAAAAATGAAAAATAAGTACATTTTACCCATTAAGTTTCATTGCATCCTATTTTATTATTTTACTCTGTCTAACACTAGGGTGACCAGACAACTTTACTTTTCAAGGGGAGAGCAGCTTTGCTCAATGTGCTTGGGGCTACCTTAGCTGGGGCCAGTATGTCATTTTCTTCATATAAAGCACTGTTTGACCCATTAAGCTGCAAAGCCTCCCCATTGACAAGTAAATCGCCTGGCGTTAGACAAGTAAAAAAAAGTAGGCTGCATTGGGGAACATTAGATAGATAGATAGATAGATTTTATTTTGACACGCTAACTACGTTAATTAAAAACATTGATTTCCACGAAGGACGTGTGTTCAAAAGTGATTATATATAAGTGTTGTTATGACTCTTATGGAATCAAATAAAAGAAAATAGAAATAATCTAACTGTTCCAATTGACAAAATTGACAATATAACCCTTGTGTAGAACAACGACCTTTCAATCGTCATACTTCAACCGGATAGTTAAACCATGGAACTGCATATGTAAAGACGTTCATCCAGATACATTCTCCAGTCCGATCTCCTTTAAAAACTATCTTAAACGTAAATATACCGACCTTGTTAAGTCAGTCTATGATGTTGAGTTATCTTGTACGTGGTCACTGGTACGGGACTGTCCTTGCCACAGGAAATAGTTAAGTCAGTTTGTCGTGTTTGTATATTTGTCTGTCTCTGTCTGTAATATGTTTCTGTCTATCATGTAAAGGCTAGTCTCCATTCGGGAGGGTCTTCAGGATCGGGGTGGACGGGAAAGTTTTCAGTTTGTTTTGCGAGATTTCGTTTGGAACCTCTGGTTTCGAACTAAATGAATTTAATCAACACGAATGACGTGAATTCAACAAAACGAAAGCACTCCCGCCGTTTCTGTTCAGCGGAGGATCGTCCTGCGTGGAAGCTGGCCTTTACCTTTACATGCATGTTCAATCTGTCTCTTAGTTTACTTGACACGCCCAGTTTCTGGAAATAGAGCCACGTTTACTCAAACTCTCTGAAGCGGTATCATTATTTTGAATTTCGAGTTTAACTATTCCATTTAATTTTTTGCTTGCCTGAATCCTTTAGCGAGTTTGAGTTCGCGATGTTCTATTTGTTATCATGATTACTATTTTGGAGGTGGGTGCCCTGCATGGCACCTTTTATAAGAGTCCCGTTCGTACCTTACCTTTTTGGATCTACATTTGATATCTAGGTTATTTTAACTTAATGTAATATTTGTTCTGTTATATTCTTTTGTTTGTTAAAAATTGTGAATATCGATCCAAATAAAATTTGTTAAATTAAAATTAAAATATATGTCTGTATAAATATATTATTTAGGAACATGAGCAGCAATTTTTCTTTCAAATAGAGACTGGGACCTAATTCCTCTGATTTCTTTAGGCACTGAGTTCCATATTTTTGCCCCATTAAACATAAAACTCTTTTTCATGCTATTTGTGCGGAGCTGTGGCAAAACGATTGTTGTTTCATTGTCACGGAGACAGTAATGCGTATTCCCATTCTTGTAGGTAAAAAGGTCTGTTAGGCTTTTAGGCCCAGACATATTCAAAATTTTGAACATTAATTTTGCCTTAGCTTTAGTTCTTTGTACTTTTAGTGTCTCCCATCCTAACGAATTTAATGCGATTTGGGCATTAACTTCGTTACCCATGTCCATAATAATTCGAGCGCATCTATTTTGAAGCTTTTGTAATCGTTGTGATTGAGTTTCGCCAAAATTGTCCCACACTTCACACAAATAAGTGAAGTATGGTTGTACAATTGCGTTAAATATAGAAACAAGTGTATCACGGTCAACAAATTCTTTTAGTTTTCTAATAACAGAAATGGCCGATGTGGTTTTCTTACAGATACTCTCAGTGTTACTTTTCCAAGAGAGATGCTGATCAACTATTACTCCTAGTGTCTTGCATTCCTTCACTTGTTTAATTGGTCTGTTTTCAATCATTATATTTAAATTTGAATCTGAAACAGTATGCACTAGAGATCTTGATCCTATGAGCATAAATTCAGTTTTGGCAATGTTTAGACTCAGTTTGTTCGCGTTTAACCACATTCTGAGGTTTTCCAAATCAGAGTTCACTGCATTTACAACATCATCAATTGTACCACCGGAAGCAGTGAGGTTTGTGTCATCTGCAAAATGTCTTGGCTTTGTCCTATTTAGGCTTTCAGATAAATCATTTATATATATTAGGAAAAATAAAGGACCTAAAATGGAGCTTTGAGGAACACAACACTTAACTTTGTGTTCAGACGAGACAACACCATTTACTTGGCATTTTTTGGTTGCGATCAGTAAGATATGATCTCAGCAAGAAATGTGCCTTATCCTTAATACCGTAAATTTGCATTTTCTCAAGTAGAATTTCGTGATCTACGGTGTCAAATGCTTTTTATAGATCTATAAAAACTACTAAGTTAAAAATTTTTCGATCCATATTAACATACCGACTATTTGTTGAATCTAAAAGGGACGTAGCGGTGGAGTGAAACTTTCGAAAGCCAAATTGGTTATCGGAGAGAATTTCGTTTTTAGTTAAATAATCATACAGCTGGTCATACAGTAATCTTTCCATGATTTCGCTTATGACTGGTAGTATTGATATTGGCCTGTAATTACCAGGAATATTACGATGACCACTTTTATAAACAGGTAAAACTCTAGCTATTTTCCATTCATCTGGAAAGCTGCAAAGAGTAATACTTTGATTAAAAATATATGTAAGTGAAGCAGAAATAACTGGTGATGCTAATTTAAGAATTTTACTGGAAATTTTGTCAATACCACATGCACATTGCAGCTCAATGGGTTAACTAGAGACATTGTGAGATTTGTTCGTTAACCATTAAGTTGCAGAGCTTCCCCATTTACGATTAAAATCGTCTGGTGTTAGACAAGTAAAAAAAGTAGGGCACACTGGAGCACATTGTGGCTCAATGGATTAACTAGAGACATTGTCAGATTTTATGGTTTTAAACCCATTAAGCTGCAGGCCTCCCCATTGACAAATAATATCGTCTAGCGATAGACAAGTAAAAAAATATAAGCATGCACTGGGGAACATTGCGGTACAATGGTTAAGAAGACTAGTTTGATATTCTGTATCAATTGCAATAATGTTTGCAGTGTTATTTTAACCTCACAAGTCACAACCCCAGTTTGCCAACTCAATCCAGAACTAAAATGGCGCCCCGCAGTTGTTGTAAATATACTGTTATATGTTCAAAGTTAAATAAATTTCCAACTGTTGAGAACAATATTCGGAGCTGCAATATTTAATATAAGAATTTATAAAGGCTTTAATTGTCTCGATCGGCACTAGGGCATCTTCCAGCTTTACAAATATATCATTTTATACATGTATACAACTGAATTAAGCTCATTGACCCATTAAAGAGAATTAAAGAGCTAATTGCAAGACCAAGTAAAATTGTCTGGCATTGGACAAACTAGTATTAATGCAATAGTAGATTAGTAGAGTTCATTTGGGCACATGCATTGCAACTTAATGGGTTATTAAAAGTCAATACACTGAAAATATCACAGTAAATGCTGTAATTCTTCTGTAATTCCAATCCTTAATGAAGTATTAAAATGTTATTAACATAAACTGTATATCTTTTAATAATATATTATTTCAAATAGGCCTACTTTGACAAAGGTCTATAGGCATCTAGCAAAGTGCCAAATTATGCAAAAGACAAATATTGCTAAATTGTGAAAAGAATAGTAGGTAATTTAGCATAGAATTCACAATAATGGTTCGAATTTATATTTTATTTATTCTTCCCTTGCTAAGAAACCGAAATTTCGTATGTTTTTTTATGCAAATTGACGCGGCAAATTCAAACATTCAACAGAATTTAAGACACATGGCTCAAGTATAAACGATCATATTCACTACATTGTTTTGGAATTAAAGTGCTTAAATAGCATCAAACATGAAACTATTCTTACCTGTGAGATCTGAATAACATTTTAAGAACTTTCCAATGTCTTTTCCATCGTTTGGGTTAAAAATATAAGGGAAAATTTCCCTTGAAATCCGCATGTAACAGTATTTTGAAATTATACTATATATACATACATACATACATACATACTTTATTGAGCAATTCCCAACTGGGCTTTTCAATGCCCATTACATGTTATAGTTAATATTATAATTATAGTTATATTAAGTATTTACAGTTTATTTTACATTAATTGTTAAAATAGTGGTCTAACAGATTGTTTTTCATTAACTTCTTGAAATGGCGGAGAGATCTTGCTTCTGTGATATTTTCATCCAGGCCATTCCAAAGATTAACAGCCCTGTAGTGAAAGGAACGTTGTCCAGTAACGGTTCGGTTGAAAGGGATTTGCAGCGTATCTTGGTTTCTCGTGAGTCTGCAGTGTATCGAAGATCGTTTCGACAATGTTTCGCTTAAATATTGTGGGACAAGCGAGTTCATGCATTTGTACGTCATAATTGAGTCTCTGAGAATAAGTTCTTCTTTCACAGGTAGCCAACTAATCTGACGTAGCGCAGGAGTGATGTTGTCAAACTTTCTAGTGTTTGTAATAATCCTGCATGCAAATTTCTGTACTGCTTGGAGCTTGCTAATGTTTGTGGAAGATGTATTGGACCATGTAGCAGAACAGTAGAATAATTTACTGATAACAAGTGATGAAATGATGAGTTTGAGCGTTTCTTTATCAAAACTGTCTTTCACTCTGTTAATTTGACAAAGTTTTTCAGTACACGACGAGACAAGATTTGTATTATGTTCGTTGTACGATAAATGCGAATCTAGGGTAACTCCCAGATTTTTTGCACTGAACACAGGAATAATATGTTTACCTAGGAATGAGAGAGTCATTGACGAAGGTAATATTTTTAACAACTGGGGTGTGCCAATAAGCAGAAACTTGGTTTTCTCTGGGTTGATCAATAAATGATTAGTCAAACACAATTTAGCTACAAGACAAAGGTCTTCTTCCAGATTCGCTTTGGTGGAAGTAGTTTCTTTAATCGGAAAGGATAGGAAAACCTTGGAGTCATCAACGTATGATTCAAGGGAGCTAGTGCGTGGTGGTAGTGGGAGATCATTCATGTATATGCAGAAGAGTAAGGGTGAAAGTATCGCTCCTTGCGGTACGCCGTGGCTGAGGTTAAGGGGAGAAGATGAAGTTGGACCAATACGTACTACTTGTGATCGTCCATTTAGGTAGCTACCAAACCATCTCAATGACGGTTTAGACGCTCCGATGCGTTCATATTTTTGAAGTAGGATATTGTGATTGACACTGTCAAATGCTTTAGACAAATCTATAAGCACAAGTTCAGTTAACTTCTTATTATCCATCGCTTTCAAAATAGTGTCATTCACAAAAATAGACAGTGTTTCTGTGGAGAAGTGTTTCTTGTTGCCACTTTGGTGGGAGGACAAACGATTGTTTCTCGTTAAGTACGTGTTGAATTGACTGAGCACAATTTTCTCGCAGACTTTAGAAGCAACGGGTAGAAGCGAAAGAGGGCGATCGTTTGAAGCTTGCTCATGGTCACCATCTTTTAACAGAGGTATAACTTCAGCCTTTTTCCATGCTTTGGGATATGTAGATGTGTTGAGGGAACAATTGATTATGTCTGTTAGGGGGCCTAAAATAACTGGTAACGAATCTTTAATGACCCGCATATTGATCTTATCGAGACCAGGAGATTTGTTGGAGGTCATAGATAGAATAATATTTTGTACTTCTGTACAGGTAACAGGACGGAAATAGAACAGGTCGTCAGGGGAATTTCCAAGTGGTGTGGATGGAAGACCGGCGGTGGAAATGTTAATATTATTTTCCAAAGCTAGCCGGGTAGCTTCTTCAGCTGTTTTTCTCCCTACTGACGAAAAGAACTGGTTGAAATCGTCTGCTACCGATTTATGGTCTTTACCGTATGTTAGAGTGGGTCTCTCTTTGGATGGTATAACTTTATTAATAATATTCCAAAGACAACCCGGTTTCTCTTTGTGAGTTTGTACCTCATTACGGATGTAGTTTCTCTCTGCGTTTCTTAGTGTGGTTTTTACCGTTTCCCGAGCTTCCTTATAGATATGCCAGTCATTGTCGTCACGTGTAGTTTTGAAACGGCGAAGTATTTGGTCCCTGGCATTCATAAGATCTTTAATTTCAGTGGTGACATAGGGACAAGGACGGCTACGGATCTTGATACGCTTGACAGAAGCATGAGCTTCAAGGGTGGAAAGAAGAACACTGTTGAATGTTGCTAATTTCGAATCAACATCAGGTTTAGTAAATATGGATAACAAGTTGCTAGAGTTGGAGGCCAGGGCAGCAGAGAACAACGAAGGGTCATAGTTTTTAAAACTGCGCACAGTGATGAAACGTGAAGGAGGCTTGGGTAGTCTCAACTCCAACGTGGCGAAGACGGGAGGTGGTCACTTATCGCTGTGTCGATGACGCCACTGTCGCATACCAGGTCAGGGTTGGAAATGAGAATAACATCAATAAGTGACTGGCTGCGGTCTCTGATTTCTGGTTGGTGTGGTAATAATTTGGGTTAGGTTTAATTCTATTGAAATATCAGTGAGCGTCTTGTATTCAGGACATTCTTTTAGTGTATTACAGTTAAGATCACCGAGGATGATTATGGGTTTGTTCATTGATAGAGCTGTAATATAGCTGGGCTTTAGAAAAGACTGGAGACAGGTGAGTGGACAGTCGGGAGGACGATACGTTGCACAAACCACGAGTGATTTTAACTTCTTATACTGAAGTTGTAGCCATAGTTGGTGGAAATTGCAGTCAGAAATATGCGAAATATCTTTCAAAATATTTGCCTTAATGTCATTCCGAATGTATAAGCAAACTCCCCCTCCTTTCTTATGTAAACGGTCGAGTCTGTGTAGTTTGTAGCCATCGATACTTATCTCTTTGTTTGTTACAGTCGAGTTTAGGCAGGTTTCGGAGATGGTAAGCACATCTATATTCTCAGATTTAGCAAATTCTCTGACTTGAATGAGATGATCTGTGTTACGCAATGAACGAATGTTTACATGAACTATTTTAAGATTCGAACCGGGATTAGAATGGCGTCTTGTTGAAATGTGAGAAACTGTTGTTGTTGAAGCATCTATATTACGCGGATTCGCGTCGGCAGAGTCTGAAACTGATGTAGTTTCTGGAGTTGCAATCTTTATACAAGGAGTTTGCTGCTCGGTTGAGTTATGACTAACAATAGAAACGCAATTCGACGGAATATGTGAACGAAGGTCTGTAGCTGGTTGAGATATGCAAATTCGTCGACTATACACGGGATGAATATTAATTACATTAT